AAGACAAGGAAAACTGTCTCTGGCTGATACTGATTGCCATTCATTGCATAACTTTAGGTCACCAGGGTATGGGAAGAAATAAAAGAAAGGAAGAAGGATGAGAATAATCCTGCCGTACACAGGGAGACACATGGCACACTTGAACTAATGCTCAGGTACAATGACTGTGTTGTTCCACCATGATGAATGTGCCCCTGACCCTCCCCAACCAGCAGGATGATGGTGGAACCCATTCCTAGGAGTTCCAGGTGAAAGCTCATCCTAGCTTTGGTCCAGGTTCTGGGCTTCTGCATTCCCTCCAGTGAGTGTCTCATGGTGGCTCTTGTCAGCCTAATCATGCTTGTGTGACTCAATATACGAGTCACAAAGCTTTCTCTTTTCATGTGTGCAATCACTGAGATTACAGTTTCTGAAATAAAGGCTTCAACAACTTTATTGACTTACTATTTCTGTTCATAATTGTTCACTGCACAATTTATTCCACTGAGAAAGGTACACCTCTCCTTTAGTATAAAAGTACTCACAGAAAGAAAGGAATAAGCCCGATAGAAAATGACTGCAACAAAAAGCCTATTATTGACCATATAAGCTCTCCTGTTTTTATGCAATTAGTTAGGATGCTGTGTGCACTTTTCTTAGAAGCCTTTTATTTGGTGATTGTTTCTTTTTTCTTTTTTTCTGAGACGGAGTTTCACTCTTGTTACCCAGACTGGAGTGCAATGGCACAATCTCAGCTCACTGCAACCTCCGTCTTCTGAGTTCAGGCAATTCTCCTGCCTCAGCCTCCTGAGTAGCTGGGATTACAGGCATGCACCACGGTGCCCAGCTAATGTTTTGTATTTTTAGTAGAGACGGGGTTTCACCATGTTGACCAAGATGGTCTCGATCTCTTGACCTTGTGATCCACCCACCTCGGCCTCCCAAAGTGCTGGGATTACAGGCATGAGCCACCGCGCCCTGCTGGTGACTGTTTCTTATGCCTCATCATAAAAAGGCTCCTCTCCCAAGGCAATTACAGTTTCAGAATCTATCTGGTTGCACCTTATTAGGCTATTGCTGTTTGAGCACACAATACTTCATTTATCCGATTCATTTACATGTAAGTTATTTCAACATGGAGTATGTGGAATGATGGGAGATGCCCCATGTCCCAGGAAATATGACTGTGAGTTTTTGCCTTTTAATTTGCATTTAATCACTTGAACATGAGGTGAGGAACAGTCGATGATATTTCAATAATAATACACATTTAGAGGCTAACAGAGTGAGAAGAGAAAAGAAATTGGTTTAACTCTGTAATAGTACTATTGATTATGGTTACTGGAGCTCAATTACCATGCAACTCAATAGTAAATAGGCTTATGCTTATATACATGTGCACACACTGTTAAGTATTAGATGTTAGTGTACATTTTATTTGATTCACACAGTGAACTATGTCCAGTGCAAGTTATGAGCCTCGAGTAGCGAGAATGCCTCAAAGCACATGAGATAGAATTTTGCATGCTCAGTGTCTTCCTTCTTTTGGCAGTCTTTTCAATTATTTACACCACTCACAATAATGGTTATTGTCCTATTGCCCTTAGGAACAGAGTCTGCATGCCGAGATCAGCATCCCACTTCCCAGAGTGACTCCACCATTGTTTTCATTCCTTCCTGGCTATGGCCCTGAACTTGGGGCCTTGCATAGTGGTTCCTTCTCTCTCTCTCTGACATGTTTCTGCCCTGATCTTGGCTTTCTGCTGCTCTTTCAGTTCGTTGCTTCAGATGGCCCTCTTTTTCTCCTCCTTTCCACCCTAAAACAGGATTAGATGCTCCTTTTATATGCTCCTTACACTTGATACTTTCCCTATCTTAAAATTTTCATATTCTATTGGCATTGACATTACATTGTTTTCTTCCAGACAATGACCTTCTTGGGCACAGGGAGTTAGTTTTATTCATTGCCATATCCTCCATGTTTAGCACAGTGCACGGCACTTAATAAGACCCAATAAATATTTGTGGAAGGAATACATGAAAGAGAAAATCCTTCCCTGCCATTAGGCCCACAGCACACTGCTTCTTCCTGTTGCAGAAGAGGATGGTCTGGTTGGAATAAGTCATTTTCAAGAATATTTTGATCAGTGCCCACAACTGTACTAAACTTTGGTCAATTTTCTTTTCTTCATAAATCAACATCGGTTCTGGTTATATCCACAGACATAGATCTTCATTTTGTTGGCATAATGAAATCCTATACTATTGTTTCATTGTCAGTTTTTGAGTATAAGAGCAAATTAAAATGACTTGACTTTATTTTAAAAAGCCATAGTAGACTGAATACTATGAAGATATATTATAAATTAATTTCATAATTAAATAGCAGAATTAGTTAAAAGCTCCCGGGTCCAGTTTCCTTTTATTCATCATGATAGTATTTGGTCTATAGTTAGTTCCTAGTAAATTCAAGTTATTAGCTTTATAACCTCATCCTGGATCTTTTTCCCCCAATCTACGCCTTCCTCTTCAAACACTGACCTTGGGAAAATTGACTTCAAACTCAAGAGGCTAGAAGACAGGGCGCTGAGATTTCATTCATTACTGAGAACGAGTTAGGTGCTCCTCCCCTCTCACGTGCACAGCCTTCAGCCTTTCTTCTTAAGCTTCAAGTCAGCTCAACAAGTGATTGTCATCCAACCACTTGTACGACAGTGTACTTAGAACTGTGTTAGGCTAATCTGCAGTTTCTCAGGTGATTATAAAAATCTGTGATGCTGCTAGTTATTAAGCAGCTTCAAAGTCTATCTGTAACTATTCCCTTAGGGGCTGGTACGCAGCATTTCCATAAACTCATGTTATTAACACTGATTTCCAGGCATGCATTACCACCACATCTCTGATCAACATGGTCTCTCTTTGGTTGCAGAATAGAAAGCATATACCACTGGGAACAGACATTCACAGCCTATACGGTCATCACCACAATGGAATAAAGAAGAATCCGCAACATACACATAATACACATATACACTAATTAAAGATAATTTGCAAAATACAACCCAACCTCATGAATCCACAGAAACGACAGCAGATTCAGAGGAGCCCGAGACAGTCTTTCACACTGCAGTGGAACCGTTACATCCAGTTTGTACTTCTGCAGCCCATTCTGAAAATCAAATATATATCGAAAGTTAAGGCTGTAGCTTAAAACTCACACAGCAAATAAATCATAAAGCATTCCTGGAAATCATTTCTTTAACTTCTCATGTTGTGGTTAGCAATTGTGGAGGTGGTCGGATGAGGATTTACTTCGCCAAATATTTCGCAATACTTTCGCACAGTGAGGTGAACTAAGGATACAACTTTAATTTGGGTGTCAGAGTCCTTTGTGGACTTTATAAGCCTTTTAACGTTGTCTAAATATCAGCATCATTTGCATGGGTACAAACTAGGATCAACTGTCGAAGGGGAAAGAACATTGGATTTCTCCTTGGTAGGCTTCTGAAAGCAGTGATTGCATTTATGCATGTTGCAGCCTCCTAGTTTATATGCAATGAAGAGGGTGATGGGATGGGTGCAGGGGGATTGTGTACAACTGCCCATTTGTATGAGGCATTTGGAAATCCAGAACTGCCTCTTTTGTGTTTGTTCCCCTTTTTGTGGACACATAATTCATCTTTTGCATGTTGATGGAAATGGGAGTTTGGTGGCTGCTCCTGTATAATACATAAGATGGTGATTGGCGGAAATAGAACAATGCGAACTATGAGTCTCAGGAGAGGAGAAGATGGATGGGGAAAATAGGAAAACATGAACCTAAGAAAAAGGGTATCAGAGGAAACGACAAATTCAACCAAGACAAAAACCATAGTGGATTACAGTAGTTAATAGATGTTAAAGTAACCGATAGGCTTGTATTAGTTAAAGCACAGAAGTGTCTTCTGGAACCTGAAGCTGGCTGGGGACCTAAAAGGGAGAAGAATTGAGAGGCAATAATTAAAAAGGCAGGAGAGAAGCAGTAACTCAAGACCTAAGGGACAGGAATATGTGTGGGGAGAGGGTCATTAGATTTGGACAAATTCTTTCAAGAAAATGTCACAGGAACTGGGAGTAAGAAAAGGTACCTAGTTAGCTAGGGGTGGGACCATCTGACGAGCATGAGCCAGACTCATATCTGGGTTGCAAATGGAGCTGAGTGTTTCTCATCACAGTTCCTACCAAGGTGAGCATGAGTTTCTCATCACAGGTCCTACCAAGGTGAGCATGAGTTTCTCATCACAGTTCCTTCCAAGGTGAGCATGAGTGAAGCTTGGCAGGATAGGAAATAGGTGCTGGTCTGCACTGGTTTCTGGGATGTCATGAAGAATACTGAAGTCCCTTGCCCATCAAGGGCTCAGAGAGTGGTAGGGGTGACATATATATGCAATTAACCAGAATATATGGTAAATATTACAATATATTTGTATACAAAGGGTTATGCCAAGCTCTTGGGATACCAAGTACCTTTCTGATTTCTAGTACTCTTCCTCTTTCCAAAGAAGAAAAGACTGCATGTTAGACCTTTCCAATTAAAGGGGAACTCATCCAACTCACACTCTTCCTAGCCACATTCAAACTTGAGTGCTTTTCATTTGGAATTGTAGACTCAAAGACCTCTTATTTTTTCAAAGGAGTTTTAGCCATCTGCTAGTAAGTAGAAAAGGCTGAGAAAAAGGAAGAGTTTCAGTGGGTCTCCAGGACATCATCAAAACAATGTTGTCAGTCAACATTCAATCTACCCCCTTCTTGGCTGACAGAGTTCCAAAGTTGCTTTAGAGCCTATTCCTCCCTCATGTGACTCAAGGGAGTCACCAGCCGTAGCCTATCTCCAGCAGTCAATCCTGACCCAACGGAGACAGCCATGATGGTCCTGCTCTTGCCCATGGTTTGTTTAGGACTGACACTGCAGTCTATTGTGACCAAACAGTTCTGGCAGAAGGTCTCCTGGGAAAGGTTTCCTCACTCCTAAAAGAGACACACATGAAGACAGTTTCTTCTTCCTCTGGATGTGGTTGTTTGTTGTGATACACAAAAAGGTGGTAGCCACCTTCAACCATGGGGAGAGCCAGCCCGAGGACAAGGATGATATGTGAAGGTTGGCAGAATAGAGCCTGGATCCTGGATTACACTTTTTTGAACCAATGAATTTAGCAATTTTGGACATTTTCTTTTGTGTAATACTAAATTTCCTTATACTTTAAGCCACTTTGAGTTGGTTTTGTTTCTGTTTCTTGCAGCCAAAAGCAGTTGACTGTGACACATGCTGGAAGTGTCTCTGAAGATGGTTCTATTTCAGTAATGCGAGAGCCTGGTGAGGTTGGATAGAAGGCATGGTTGTTTCCTCCTCTTCCCACTCAAGATTTCTCCCCTGATTCTTGAAAGTGGTTGTAGGTTTATTCTTATAGCTACTGACCCATGCCAAAGATTGTCATCTAGGCTTTGGCAGTGAAATCCTGGAAAAAAGAACCAACTTTCTTGAGCTCTTTGTTCTCAGCCTATTTCTCCATAAGTCCAACGGTTTACTTTCCATCTACCTGGAACTGCTAGTCACAAAAGAGCCAGGGCTACATCTACTGTGCTCCTACTATCTCCTCCCGGGTCAGGGATCTCTCTGTCTCTCTCTCATCTTGGCTAGAATATGGTAATAAGATCATAGGAGCACCCTTTCCCAGACACAGTCTACCAGCAACCAGACCACTCAGGAAAGGAGGAGAGGAAATATGTGCATATGCCTAAAAATCACATGAAAAACAGGGGAGGTATGGGGGCATGTGGACAGAGACCCAACAGGGTGAAAATGAATGGAACTGAGAGTCAGGAAGGTTGTAAGCAAAAGGCCAGAGTGTGTGGGTTACATTTCTACACTTTCATTCACGCACACAGGAGACACAGGTGGCTGTAATAATTGAACTGTATGAGGAAAAATGGTCAATCTTTTCCTAATTTTAAATACTAAAGGATAAACCAAATAAGAAGAGAAAAAATTTTAATGGGGCCAGGTGCAATGGCTCATGCCTGTATTTTCGGCACTTTGGGAAGTCATGGTGGGTTTTGCCATGTTTCCCAGGCTGGTCTCAAACTCCTGGTCAGGACTTCTCCTGTTGTGAGACCAGCCGGGCAACATGGCAAAATCTCATCACTACTAAAAATACAAAAATAAGCTGGGGTGGTGGCATATGTCTGTAATCCCACCTACTTGAGAGGCTGAGGCAGGACAATTGCTTGAAGGAAGCGGAGGTTGCAGTGAGCTGAGTTTATACCACTACACTCCAGCCTGGCCAAGACTGTGTCTCAAAAAAATAGAAAAACTTTTATAGGGTTGCATAAAATACAAATTATAATAATTATGTAAAGAGTGTCATTTGTGCCTAATTACAGTGTCACACTGTAATAACTAGGCATAGGTTAAATATGACATCCATTTATCTGCTATCCTGTGTCCCAGCCTTCCTAGGGTCACTCTGGATCACTGTCATCAGCTAATGTAGTGCAAGCTATTGACCCACAACTTTACAGAGTTGAAGAGGCCACTGCCTATAATCTACCTACAGGTTTCCTGGCATTTCTGGTGTTTCTTCATAATCCACTGTGAAACTGGTTTCAGTGTTCAACCCACATTGCCTTTACAGGTAAGAAATTTCAACAATTTAATTTTTGTTATGCCTAAGAGCCTTTCCTACTGCTTCAGAGGATGCCCACTTTTTATTTGGCAATCATTTAAATGGCATTTCCAAAACACCAGGCATTTTTTTCCCCAAGTGCTTTGCAAATACAAATTCACGTCATCTGTACATCAGCCTTGTGAAATCGCATGGCAGACACTGTTGCCCATCCATGTGCCCTCGGTCCACTTCCCAATTACACCTGCGGTCACAGTGGACAGTTTCACGTGAACTGACAGTGAGGACCACGTGTGTACAGGCAAACATCCAGCTTCCTATCCTCTACAATATTGCGAAGGTCCTCAACATGATGGCGCCCCCAATGCCCACGGAACGACTGTTCCTTTACACCCCCTTCAAGAGCTACTCTCTCCGCACTGTCTCACCTGCCCTTATTCCTTCACGTGTACTTTCCTGGGATCACCTTTCAAAAAATCAATTCTATCTAAGTCCTTTTATCTGGGTCTACTTTGGGATGAAACCAAACTACAATACTACATTCTATTACTATCCTCATTTTATAGGTAATAAACTGAGGCACAGAGTGGTTTAATAATTTGCTCAAGGTTATCCAGCTCATGGAGTAAGGATCTGAATTCAGGCTTCAGAGTCCATGTTCTTCACCACTACCCTATACTGGCCTCTAAATATCAAACTCTATAATTTGGTAACACATCCATCTTCCACCTACACTGATCATTCTCAATAATATGAATGGGGAAAGGAATCTGGCAAACTATGGCCCTCAGCCAAACCTGGCACATGGCCTGTCTTTGTAAATGAGTTGCGTTAGACTACAGCCATGTCCACTTGTTTCCACACAGTCTGGGGCTGCTTTTGCACTTCAATGGTAGAATTGAGTATTTGTGATAGAGACCATGCAGCCTGCAAAGCCTAAAATGTTTACTATCTGACCCTTATTTTCAAGAAGTTTGCCAACTCATACTATTTCTCAGTAAATCATAATCTTTCCCAGCTGCAATACATTTAAAAGATGTCAGTGAGACTCCTAGAATACGGCTTGACTTTGGGTTGGGTAGTTTTGGGGATTCTGAATATCTGGTCAACAGGCATGTTTCTCTCTGCGCTATTCTATCTGAGCCCAGGGATTGGTCAAACACTCAAATGCTGAGCCTGTGGCTCGTTATTCTCCTGCCACCAAATGGTCTGTGACTAGTCCTCCTTTTCACAACATGCTTGTATTTCTAAGAGCTACGAGGTGTCTCTTTCCCACTAACAAATAGGCAACACCAGCTTGCTTTAAAAACTGGGTTAGGCCCAAAGGAAGCTTCTGCCAGAGATGTAATCATATGGAAGAGGAACTTGACTAATTCTGTGAGGGCAAGAGAGATCTCATCTTATTTTCGATAACTCAGTGGGAACATTTTGATTTGTTTGGTAAAGTTGTTAGGTTACATGTTTGTTTGGGAGTTTCTGTGTCTACGGCCATTTCTGCTGGGCCTACAACACAGCTTTGGCTTTCTACATTTACACACACGTATCCAAAGCACCTTTGCAGCCATTCACACAAAGCCACCCATTGGCTGTCCCAGACAATCAAAAAGATTATTATGCACAATTTATGCCAGTTTGCCAATTTGGGTTTTTTTATTCTTTTTTACGAGAAACCATAGTGACACTTTAAATCATTGAGGGTGTCGATATATTTTAAGACACACTTTGATAACATTCTGGAATATGCCATTTTATAAAGCAGGGAAAGGCGCCATTTGGAAATGAATGGGAGTGTATCCAGGAGGCGGGAAGGCCCTGTAAGGTCAACTTTTCCTTTTCAGCTGTGTTCCTAGCAACTGTTTATATATTCTAGACTTAGAGACAAGGTCTTCAGATAGTGTAATGATTACTTGTTAATAAAAACTCCCATACCTCAAGAAGGTTTTTGCAGGTCAAATAGGTTGGGGTAAAAATATACATAACTCTTTATAATACCTGAGAACAAAATTCATCCAAATATACTCCTGTCTTGCCCCATAGAGGTCATTTAGGAAATGCATTGCCTTCCAATTGTCCCCCAAATACCTGCAATTGTATATCGCAGCTTTCAACCATAATTGGTGAATCACCAGTTCAAACAAATCATTCATGGTGAGGTCTCTCTTTAGTGGACTGTGTCTAAGAGAGAATGTGTTGTCCTAAAACCCAAAACTTGGTTACCATTTGATAAAATATTTGGGTTTATAAAATTTTCTCATCTATAGCTTGAGTTTGCTGGGAATTGCTTGGAAGCAATTATTCCTAAAGAATATACTATTGGTCAATCAAAGGACCCAGATGTCTCTCCTTTGGGGAAGTTTTGGTGGTAACCATGACTAAGACTAATGTCAATCGTTGAGTGACAGGTTGTGGGAATCATTAGCTGCCACCCTTCCCCATGGGAGTGTGTTCCTTCAGGAGCTGCCTGGAAAGTGCAAATGATAAAGTCACAAAGTTTGGGACTGTTTTGGACCTACAGGAGAACTGGTCACACGGTGAGTCCTTTTAGGGACAGTAATTCTCAGTGTAGGGTTGGGGGAGAAAAGGGAAGGAGCACAGGGCTTTTTCAAACAAAACAAGGCCCCTCCCTCCTCCTCATCCCAGCTGGATTCCAATACAAAGGCCTGGGGCTTGTGTGACTGCAATTCTACTGCTCTTCACGGGGCCCTCCTCAGTCTTCTTTTTTTTTGAGACGGAGTTTCACTCTTGTTACCCAGGCTGGAGTGCACTGGCGCGATCTCGGCTCACTGCAACCTCTGCCTCCTGGGTTCAGGCAATTCTCCTGCCTCAGTCTCCTGAGTAGCTGAGATTACAGGCACACGCCATCATGCCCAGCTAATTTTTTGTATTTTTAGTAGAGACGGGGTTTCACCATGTTGACCAGGATGGTCTTGATCTCTTGACCTTTTGATTCACCTGCCTCGGCCTCCCAAAGTGCTGGGATTACAGGCTTGAGCCATCGCGCCCAGCTGGCCCTCCTCAGTCTTAAACATACTACATAGACCTAGGCGTAGCTGCTCTTCCTGGGGGATGCTGGTAGTCCGTGGCTGGGGCCTGTCAATCATCTGCAAGAACTGAAATCCCTCAGGTATCCAAGGTACTTACTGGGGCCCACGTATCAAAAAGACAGGATTTGCACACCAGCTTTCCTCCCTCCATTTGTATTCTGACCCCACAGAGGTTTCCCCAGTGACCCTCTTCTTATTATATTTTCTCAGCTTTGCTTTCTGCCCTAGTTCTTCCAGCTCTTCCCCTTGTTACATTATTCATGGCTTTTATTTCTCACTTAGTAATTTATTTTTTTATTCATGTTTTTATGCTCACTTAACTCCTTATCTTGCAAAATGACTCCTCTGGAGTGACCAGAGAAGGAAGAAGTAGCAAGCTATTAGTCCTTTTTAAAACAAGAGAATTCCAAAATTACTGCATTAAAAAAAAATTTCAACAGCTGCAACTGAGTTCGCCATTTGACTGCAGTTCTCAGCCTGAGCTGCACATTAAAACCATCTGGGCAGCTTTGAAAAAATCATGATGCCTGGGTCTCCCCTCCAGAGATTGTTTTAATTGGCCCGAGGTAAGACTTGGGCCCCGAGAATTTTAAAAGCTGCCCAGGTGATTCTAATGTGCAGCCAGGGTGGTGTGTCCTTACCACAGGCGATTCTGCAGAAGCGAGGCTGCCTCAGAAGCTCGGATCCGCCTCCCCTCCTCTGGCAGCATAATGATCGTCCTTGCAGATTTCCTCATAAGTGAGAGAAGCTGGGCTCATGTCCTTGCCCCACCACTGTGTAACCCTGGGCCAGGCCCTTTATCCTTCTGAGCCTCAGTTTCTTCATTAATAAGAGCAACAAACTCAACCCGGATGAGGCTGCAAGGTGGCCCCACCCACGATGCTGCAGCTTAGAACCCCTGGTCTGCAGTGCATAGGGTCAGGATGAGCTCAGAAGTGGAAGAAAACTGAACCAATTCATGTGCCTGTGGCCACGTGGAGACCCTGCTTCCATCACCGATATGCCCCTGATGTCAGCACTGAAGAGAAGATGCCTTTTAGGACCCCAGACTGACTCTTTCCAGTTTCCAGCTCTCAGAACCTCTGTGACCCACCTCTATGGGCACCAGGTAAGAGTTCAGAACGCCTTCCTTGACCATCAACATGTACCTCAGCAAAACTTTCAACTCCATCACACAGGCCTTGAGATGGTCCAGCTGAATTCTTTCCTCCCCTGGTCACAACATGCAGCAGAGAATTAGAGAGAAACCAGCATGTGCCAGGAAAACCAGCTAGGGAGGGAGGGGACAGAAGCTTACTACCTTCCTTCCCTGCTTAGGGGCCTTTGAGTCAGTGCCCTTCCACCATGAAGCAGAGGGTCAGTGAACAGAGACAAGGTACTAATGCAGATTTCTTATAAAGACCTTTGTTAGAGAAAGCAGAGCCGGGTCTTCTAACCAGACCCCAGCAGTCTCTCCTCTTGCAGCAAGATGATGCCTTGCTTTACACGAGCCTTTGCCAAGAAGCAGGTGTGTTTAATTTAACAGAAGGGAGGCGGAGGGAGAAGACGTTGTAGTGCATGAATGTACCATCCTGTGATGTTCAAAGCCCACCTCCTCTCAGGGGTTTGTCCTCGCTTTTCTTCTCCTGGGACACTCATCGTTCCTTCCTTCTGTGCTCAAGTATCATCTCCTTACCAGCCCCCATCCCTCCTTATCCCCTTGCTCTGCTATTTTTCTCTATCACAATGACCACTACCACTACTTACCATGATATTATTTATTTGTTACTTGCTTACTAGACCCTGAGCTCCACGAGGAATCGATTTTGCTCATCTGGTTTATAGCTCTGCTACAGTGCCTGGCAAAAAATATAAGCAAAGAGCATGAATGAACGAATGAATGAATGAACACGTGCATGAAACCTTGGGAGGTAGAGTGTCTGCTTTTGCAGGTCCCAGACAACATGCTCCTACGCCACTGACTGTACCCTTGCTCCCCGGCTGGGCTGTCTTCTTCTTCATAGGACTTACCACCTGCTGGCTGACTTTGTTTCTGTTTACTTCTCCTACGCCACTGACTGTACCCTTGCTCCCCGGCTGGGCTGTCTTCTTCATAGGACTTACCACCTGCTGGCTGACTTTGTTTCTGTTTACTTCTCCTATGCCACTGACTGTACCCTTGCTCCCCGGCTGGGCTGTCTTCTTCTTCATAGGACTTACCACCTGCTGGCTGACTTTGTTTCTGTTTACTTCTCCTATGCCACTGACTGTACCCTTGCTCCCCGGCTGGGCCGTCTTCTTCTTCATAGGACTTACCACCTGCTGGCTGACTTTGTTTCTGTTTACTTCCTATCTTCCCCACTGGAATATAAACTCCACTAAGGAAGGGACTTTTGTTTTCATCTTTACTAGCCTTTGCTTTATCCCCAAAGCCAGGATGGCACCTGGCAATGCAGTGGGAATTTAATAAATGTCTGTTGGCAAAGAAATAATTACCTCACTCAGGAGAATGTGAAGCCAATAATCTCTGCAAAGTGGTGTTTTTCAAGGGCCACCTTTGTCATCAGTCTCTGTTTTTTACCGTTTTTCTCGTCCTTAGAACACTGCCTCCATCCATAGTTCCCAGTGGTTGTTAGCCTCACTCTCTCCACCCAACCATGTGTAACAGGTGTCCATGTCAGTCTTTGACAATGCCTCTGTGTTTTCTCTGTATTTTGCTCTTGCTGTTACCTTTGAATGCTTTTCTTTCCCCATCCACTAAAAGCCTCCTATCCCTCCCAGCCAGCTCTTTCCTGGAGCCTATTCCTGACCCACAGTCAGAAGTGCACTTCTCTGAATCTCTACAGGACTTGGTACCTCTCATGGTACTTAGGACACATTAGAAGACATAATCAGATCTTTGGAGATTATGCCGGTGACACTGTAACCCAAGACTGTAACCCTAAGACAAGAAGGGGCAGGCTCAGTGGCAGGGAGTTAGCTGGCATCTCACTCTCATGCTCACACAAGAATGTTTAGGCATCACCAGCCTCTTTCCCCCTACATAGCTTCAATACTTCAGGCTCTGGGCTGCACTGTCTCTTCAATAATGAAACTTTGGAAAATCCAAACAGCTTTCTACCTGCGGGGATAGAAGCCGAAGATCCCAGAACTTCCCCAAACTGCAGCTCCCACTTCTCCCTCCAGCCCCTAACCTCTACCCCAGGCTCTCAATCCCTGGAGGAAGTTCTCAGGACCAGAGGACTTTGTTTCTCTCTTTCAGACTCCTCCAATCCTCTCCCCCTCCTCCAGAAGCCCAAATTCTGGCAATCTCTTACAGCCTGCAGACAACTCTGTGAGCAAATATCCTCCCTCCTCTACTCATCAAATTAGTGTGATACTTCATCACTTCATTTCCTGGTAGCCAACAGCTTAAGATAAGCTGCAGATGTCTACAAATTCAGAAGCCTAAGGCTGAAGACAGACTTGCCCACTTAAAACTGACTGTGGAATTAGGAGTCTCTAATATGAGTTATTTCAAGAACTCTCTGATGCTTTTTCTCCCCTGCCTCTCCACCGAAATTTTTGCAGGAAGCGTGATGCAGTCAAGAATGTGGGTGGAAACAGAA